AAAAAAAAAAAAAAAAAAAAAAAAAAAAAAAAAAAAAAAAACATGTTCATGTGGTGGATGTTGTTTTCAACATGAAGACTCCAGATTATCCAGAACAATGGGAACCCCCAAGAGCATGTGGACTTTTGAAGAGAGGTATCCAGGGATTCTTTTAGAATGTATACAAAAGGACAACGAGATCAGAGTTTATGAGATCAGAGAGATCAAAGACCTGAGGGTCAGTGCTTGGTCCCAGGGTCCTAGGAGGAGAGAACCCCAGGAAGAGGAGGGAACATTGCAGAGCCAAGGAAACAGACAGGCTCCCAACTTGCAAACTTCTAAACGTTGTAGTCCGGGATTTTAAAAATCATTATTAATACATTTGATTCATGTAAAACTGGCTTTTCCCGAGGAAGAAATTCAATTTACCTCTTAGAAACTGTTAAAAAAAAATATATCCTCTCTAGACAAAAGAAGACAAACCGATTCAAAACTTCCACTTCCTCATTTCTTTGCGGAATCTCAAGTGCCCTTAAGGAAGAAAAAAAACACACACACACACCGAGACACACAGACCTATTTAAAAAACAACAGGTATTTTCACACTGGTGCTGTGACCTATTTCTGGATCAGAAACTGGATTGCATGTCCACAAAGCCATCTCCCCACCTGGTGTTTGCTCTGCACAGCGGTTGGGAAAGTACAGCCTCGGGGTCTAACAGAAAACGCATCTTTTCTTCTTTTTTTATGATCGAACGCCATGAGTTTACTAATTTACAGCATCTACTTTTGTATTATATACGGAGGCCAAGATTGGAGCTTAGCCCAGTATTTTCTGGAAATGGTTCTTTTGAAATCAGCAAGTCCACTTAAATAACAGGAACGTTACCCTGCTTTCCCTTGTGACTTGCATCCTCATTTTTATTTGTAGCTTTCTTTTCCAAGACTTTTTCGGGAAGGCGCTAATGGGAGCTCTGCTGCCACTGAAGAGTGTGGTGATGCACAAGTTCCTGTGAGCCCATCTGGCATGAGGCCCCTTCCATATGTAGAACCATGACAAAATAAATAGAAAGCAATTTCAAAGAAGTTCAAATCTAGATATCCTCATCAGGGATAATACAGGAGCTTGAAATACGTGTGCAGATCACCTGGTTCATTAACTGTTGAGGCATGGGTTGTGAGGATCCAGGATCGCTCAGTCCAGCAATCACAGAGAAGGCCTGCTGCGTGGTCAGGCTGCAGAGGGAACCCCAAGGGTCCAAACAGGCACCTTTAGGGTTGCAGGGCACCTCTGCCTCAATTACTGCCATGCCACTGTGGATTTACACACTACGTTTCTACAAATAAAATTTTATTTTACAACATTTATCAATGCTAAAAAGAGTTGAAAACCACTGATCTATTTGAGGCCCTATTTGTCAAGTAAAATGGTACTTGAGCAGAGAGAAACATGACTGGTCAGGGATTCTCAAACAGGAAAATAAGCAGATGACAGCTGTGAAACATGCGAGCAAAATGAACGTTATGAAACAGCGGCATTCAAACTCAACAAATGGAACTCGCCCTGCGTAAGGAAACAGCTAAACACACAGTTTAAAGTTTTAAAGGTGATCATGTGTAATATGTTTGAGAAGGTTAGAGAATGTAAACTATCCATGAAACAAGAAGAAGCTGTTATGAAAAAGAACTATAAAACTTTGAAATTTACAAGACGATTGTTAATGAAACCTCAGAAAATAGGCTTAATAGCAAAACAGACTTGATTGAAGAATGAATCAGTAACTTAAAGACCACGAGGTTCTTGTAGAATATCATTCATGGGGACAAAGGACTCAAAGTAAGAGACAATCAACACATGAGAGGGAGCTAGATGTTTCTTTTGTATTTACTAGGATAAAATAGTTCTCTCCAGGAGGAGATAGCAGAGAGACTTAAGGAAGGAAAATAATTAAATAACTGATAGAAGAAAATTGATCAGAACTTTTCCAGTTCAAAAGCAGGGCCAGCTTCCTTGGTATGTGGCCTCTGGGGTCACATAAGGCTCTGAGCTCTGAAGGACTCTATGCTTGCCTGATTCTCATCTGTTGCCATCTTGAAATGCTTAATAATTTGATCTTTAAACTTGAGCTTTGTAAGTGAAGTTCGATGGGACCACAAACCATGTGCATGTGCCGAGACACAGGTAATATATGTGTCCCTGTTCCTTGCTGCTCTGTTCACCTTCCCAAGGCCCAGGGACACAGAACTCCAGTGGATTCTGGTGGAGTTCAGTGACACTGAAGGTGAGGAGAAGGTAAGCGTGCTCGTCCACTGAAGGAGAGGCACATGGATAGCCCCACCAAGCCACACACAATCTGTTGGAACCAGAAATTGCTTCAAATGCCTAAAGAAGGCAACGGCCTTCTAAGAAACAGAACAGTGAAGGCACCCTATCCCATCCCTTCCTACCTGGGCTGCTTCCCCATGTTAGACAGCCATGAACCCTGAAAATGATGACGTACAGGGAAAGATGAGGACAGCGCAACCCAGAGCCCCTGTCCTTCAGCGTTTTCTTCCTCATCAGTCAGCCGAAGGGAGAGGGTGCTGGCGCACGCACAGGAAGTAAGAAGTAAAATACAGTTGAGCTACTCTTGGGCAGCATTGCCACTGTTATGGTAAAAATGAAATACACATGCATGCCTGAGCTACATAACACGAGCCGTAATTTCAGTGGTTCCT